TTCCTCCCCAACTAACGTGGAGGTGACCTTCCCACGTCCAGGGCTTAGGGCTGACAATGTGGTATGGGGTGTACTGGCTGCAGATTGACTGAGAAGTGCATTTATCGCATCCTCTGTTGTTACTTGGAATTGATGTTAGCAATCCATCAAAGCAGCAGTTTTCTTCCACTAGTTTAGCCACTTTTTCCTCAGGATTCCCCCTCCTTTTTTCTTCCTTAATTAAGTTTGGGGAATATAACGGTCTGTTGGAGCTGGGAGTGGGGACAGTCCTTTCAGTCCCTTGAGTGCGCTGCCTAAGCAAACCGCAGTGGCAGCCTGTGCTGGACCTGAAGCTCTGACAAGTCCTCTCAGTGCCCTGGGCCCTTGGAGGCTGGAATCAGAGGAGGACCTGCTTCCTTGAGGCCCACACGCTCTCCAGAGCACTGTGCCTGCACTTGTGCCTCCTCTGACTCACTTTCCTGTCTGACACACAAACCATTTGCCCTCCTGTGGGTGTAATTTAAATGTTTGATTTACCGACTTGCTCTGTGTGCTTGTGTATCTGCCACGTAGAGGGTGTCATAGCTTTCCCTGTGCTACAGGAAAGGATCAAAACCCGAGGGGTTAAACATTCCCCACCCTTCCTGGTTGCACAAGAGGAGTCTGCCTGCCCGCCTGCTGGCGCTCCCTGCTCAGGGTGCAGATGAATGGTCAGTGGCCCCCGCTGTCTCCTGGGCAGGGCAGCCGCCTCCCTCCCTTTGGGGCTGACTGTTCCATCTGCTGAGAGAGGGGACAGGAGGGCTCTGTTGGTGCTGGGCTATCACGCCATCACACGCGGCTCCGGTTCAGCTCCCGGAGGGGATGAAGAATGCGCCCTTGTGTCGGACGGAGCCTGGTAGCCCAGCCCTCTGTGCCTCCAGCACCTAGCAGCCAGCCGGCAGGGCCATCTCACAGAGCCTGTCCAGAAATTGTGTCCTTTTCTCTGTGCTTGTTTTCCCCCATTTCTGCAAGGCATGTTTCCTGTGTCTCCTAGTCTTCCTCACAGACTCCCATAGCAGAAGGCCTGGTCAGAAAAGGAATGGCGTTCCGGGGAGCACAATGTCCTTTAGACTTTCTAACAGGGCCACTTTGGCTCTCCTTTTCCCCCCTCTCTTTTGTGTTCTTTTTTTTTTTTTTTTTTTAACTTTTTGCTAGAGGGTATGTGCACTCATTGGAGAAAGACAGAAAGAGAAAGAGAGAGAGGAAGTAAGGAAGCTTTCTGCCCCCATTGGGGACAGTCACACCACGGTCCTTTCTCCCTCCTCTCCCTCCTTTCAGGATCTTGGGTATGAACACACATGCACCTGGCATGCTTTTCAAGCTGCTGGGTCTGGGACTCAGACTGCATAGACAGCCTTGTAGGATCCAGCTGCCCTAACCAGCATGCCACCAGCTGGCTTTCTGGTTACATTACATTTAAGAGATACCTGTCATTGGCCAGCTCCTTCTCTGACCCCAGCATGCCACCAGCTGGCTTTCTGGTTACATGACATTTAAGAGACACCTGTCATTGGCCAACTCCTTCTCTGACAATGAAGCAGAGCTTGACTTCCAAGATCAAAGGCCAAAGCGCTATGGCCAGAGTGACATGGACCCCAGCCTAGACACACCTGGAGGCTATCCAGCAGCTTGTTAGCATGGGCACGTGGACACAGGAGTGTCCCTTTCAGGAGGTGCTAAGGGCCCAGCCGTAAAGGGCTTGTGGTTCATAGTTGTGTGCCCTTTTCAAGAAAACGAGTTTAAATGCCAGCAAGCATGTGTGCTCACCATAGAGAGAGGAAAAGGGAGTGAGAGAACATATCCTCCAGTGGCCCTGGTCACCCTTCAATCCTTTTCCTCTGTTCCTCCTTCCTGTCAGAATTCTGGACATACATACACAGATGCCTGCCTGTTTTTCAGGCTGCTGGAACGAGGACTCTAACTGCAGTTGGTCATGATGGATCCAAGTCCGGCCGCACAGAGCTTTACCACAGAACTGAGGGTCTGCCCTCCACAGTGTGCCTTTTACAAAGGGTGATGAGCTTGGGATTTCCCATCAGAACTTTTTTTTAAACATGTATTTATTTATCTATTTATTTGTATTTTTTTAGAGTTTTTTTTTTTTTTGCCTTAGGGCGTGTGTGCTCACTACAGAGAAAGCAAGAGAGAGAGAGAAAGGGAGAGAGAGAGAGAGAAAGTAGGAAATTTCTTCCCAGGGAGGGATGGCCACGTTGTAATCCCTTCTCTTTTCTCTTCCCAGGATCTTAGGCATGCACGCACACGTACCTGGTGTAATTGTCAAGCCACTGGGAACTCAAACTGTGGTCGGCCATGTGGGAGTCCAGTGAAATAACCACTACGCCATTTGCTAGGTGCTTTATTTGTTGTGATTTTCAAGCTGCCGGGTTCAGGACTAGAACTGCAGTCAGTAATGTGGGAATCCAGTGCCTCAACCACCATGCCATATGCTAGTCCTTATTGCAGGATTTTGAGAAGAAGGGGCATGATGGGGGTCATTATTATTTTCAAATGTGGTAACATACACAGAATATAAAATTTACCACCTTCCCCTTGTAGGTGGACAGTCTAGTGGCATTCAGTGCATCACACTTTCCACTGCTGAATCATTTCCCCCTGTACAGCTGAAACTCTGTATGCACAAAACACTAACTCTTCATTCCTCCTCCCTGCAGCTTTGGCATCCACCATTCTTTTCCCTGTCACTATGGATTTGACTGGCTCCCATCTCACAAAAGATGGCTCTGGGGGCAGTAAGGGGGTTGAACTGGAGGGACTGCAACCCGTGGGGAGGCTGGTGAAGAGGGTGCCATAATCTACGTTAGAAAATGGGGCTCTTAGCTTCAAGGTGGCAGAAGAAATGAGTTTTCTGAGAGATGCAGTTAGAAGTCACAGCACTTTTTCCTGATGGGAGATTGTAGAGGAAGAAGCAGTAGAGGCCAAGGAAGCTTCTCCTGGTGCTAATTGGGTTGTGACGTCCTCTCCCTGGGATGGGGGACTATGAAGAGGAGCCCTGCCAGCATGGGCGAGATGCCAGTGCAGTTTACCACAGGTTGGCTCATGTTGTGGTGTATCCGAGGGAAGTGTCCAGTGTGCACTTAGAAGTGTGGGCCCAGAGTTGGGGGGAGATCTGTGTGAGACACATACACTTGGCTGTCCTCGTGTCCTGGTGGTGATGAGGCCCAGGGAGTGGGCACAGCTAGAGGCAGCCTGGGGAGCACCATCCCTTATAGGAAATGTGGGCAGAACTGCAAAGAAATGTGGGCAGGAGAGGGGCCAGAGGTGGTGCAGTGCTAACAGAACCAACCCACAAGGTAAGTCCTGGGTTCATATCCCAGAGACTCCCTGTGCATGCTGGGCACGCGCATGTCTGAGATCCGGGCTGACTGTGGCTTGCGGACCTTGCTGGGGGTGCCTGTCTATCTCTGTCTCTTTCTCACTCATGGGAGAAATAAACTTTAAAAAAACAAGATGGAAAAGTGAACTGATTAGTCATATGTAAAAATGTCTTTTAGCTGTTTGTCTCAGTCTGTGTTATTTGTGAGGTTTAACAATGGTGAAAGAGGCCAAGCCCAGCAGCCCTACTCTGTTGTAAGGTAGAGCTTACCTGAGACAGGCATGCTTCCAGTTCTTACAGTCCTGATGTTTGAAAGTTCAGGCGTTAACCTTTCCGAGGTCTGGCTGTCTCGATCCTCACACGTCAGCTTCCCAGCTGAGACCACAAGCACGTGTCTCCACATCCAGCTCTCCTTGAGACGGGGTCTTGCCCCCTTGCCCACATCTGGTCGTTAGGTTGGACCTTGAGTGAACCCTGGATCTCCCATGTGGCCCTGGCCTGTGGAGCTCAGCATCGCTGCAGTATGTTCCAGCATGGCCAGGCCATTAAACATGTTTATAAGAATTCAGTAGGAGAGAGCTGATTTAGTTGAAGTATTGATGTATAATCAATTTATTTGAAAAGCGGTGCCATCCTCTCATGTTTCCTGCATGGGCTGAGCAAGTGGCTGAGACAAGCTGGGGAAGAAGGAGCTGTGAGGCCGGGCCATGTGTAGACCCTTGCCTCCCCAGGGGCCTGCTTATTTTTCTTTCTCTCTTCAATAGATCTCACTCTATTTATTTATACACTTTTTTTTTTTTTGAGAGGTTTTTCGCTATAGGGGCGCGTGTGCTCACCAGTCAGACAGAGAGAGACAGAGAGACAGAAAGCGAGAAATCCCCCCCCCCCGGGGGGGAATGGCCACACCACAATCCCTTCTCCTCCATTCTCCTCCTGGGATCTTGGGCACGCACGCACACGTGCCCGGCATGAGTTTTAAGCTACCGAGTCCGGGACATGAACCGCGGTCGACGATGTGGGAGTCCAGCGACATAGCCATTACGCTAACTGCTAGTCCCTGTTTATTTATATACTTTTTAAAAGCTCTTTATTTCTCTCTTTCTTTCTTTCTTTCTTTCTTTCTTTTTTTCTTTCTTTCTTCCTTTCTTTCTCTTTCTTTCATCTGTGTGAGAGAGACAACACCACCAACAATAGGGTCTTGATGCTGCAGTCCACCCTCAGCCTCAGCCTACCTGGATCATGAGCATGTGTGTGCCTGGTGACCTCAGGGAGGACCCCAGATAGGAATTGGGACCTTCCCATGTGGGTTAGCCTCACAGACCATTATGTTTTACTGCTGCGCTACTGTCTGGCCCTGTAAGATCCATTTTAAAGCGGATGCTGTGTGTAGTGAGCAAATGTAAAATCTGACTAATCTTTCCCCTATATAGAGGAGCAGTCATTTAAAAGCATTATTTAGGGACCAGGTGGCTGCAGTCCCTTTGGTTCAGTGGTGAGGGCAACTAGCCTTTACCAAACAACATTTGCTACTTCTCTGTGGGGATCTCCAAGAACAGTTTCTCCAACTGAACTGAGAAAACCAGAGCGAAGACAGTAAGCCCCAGCTGGGCAGAATTTCCATCCTTGACCTCTCTCTCCTTTTCCTAAGGTGAATCCACCATATTACGTTCCGCTGGTTGAGCTGGTCCCACACCCTGAGACAGCCCCTGCGACGGTGGATAGAACCTACGCTCTGATGAAGAAGCTCGGACAGTCCCCGGTGCGCATGCTGAAGGAGGTAGACGGCTTCGCCCTGAACCGCCTGCAGTATGCGATCATCAGCGAGGCCTGGAGGCTGGTGGAGGTGTGTAAGCCCGCCCCCTCTCATCCTTCTTCTCCTCTCCTGTTCTTCCCTCTCTCTCCCCTCACCCTTCTTTCCTCCTTCTTCCTTCCTTCTTTCCCTCCTTCCTTGAGCAGGACAGTGGAAGCTTCCTGGACACCATGAGAGGAAGCTTGCTCAGTACTTTTGACTCTATTCCAGAGGCCAAGGGCGAGCTTTGGTGGTATTCATGGTCTGAGTGATTCCTCCTACAGTCAGTTGTTGGATGTTAGGACGCAGTGGCAGATTCTTGCCTGCTCTTTCGTAGATCACCACATAATTACGTGTGTGACATGCTGCATTTCCCCCCAGAAATGCAGGTGTAAAATCAAGTTTCACAGTGCCCCTATATTATCTTTTTCAGAAGGAAAAAGTTATATGTTGCCTAAAGTAGAGTTATATCTCCTGAAGGAAGTCAGTTTATTTTAAAAGGTGGAAGAAGAAACCATGAATAAACTTGTAATAGATTTGTCTTACATGAGAATAAGAAATATATATATCTCTTCAAAATGTTCTTGAAAAATGTATATTATGGAAAAACTATGCAAGGATTTCAAAATATTTTGCACCAAAGTAAACGCATAACGCTAATTTCACTTTCTGCGGACTTTTTAAAGCACCCTCATGTATCTACACATATTTAGCTTCATCTTTTTTTCTTATCTTTTTATTGCCAAGGGGTATCTGTGCTTGACAGAGAGTTAGAGAAAGCACCCCCCATGGGCATGGTCACTCTTCAATCCCTTCTCCATCTTTCCATCCTTTAGGGATTTTAGCACACACGCCCACATACCCAGATTGTTTCTCAAGGCCCTGGGGCCAGGACTTGAGCTGCAGTTGGCCATGTGGAATCTGTCTCCTTGAACCACTAGGCCATGGTGCCAGACTTCGCTTCATCTTTTAATTAAAGGGTTTCTCACATGAGGTCAGAAATCACAATGCTGTGTGAGGGACTATAGTGCCTGGCAGGAGAGGTCAGAGGGCCCCAGGACATGGAGTGGATGTTGTGGGATGTGGGGTCAGACTGTGTGGTGTCTGGTCTGGCTCTTGACCAGCTTCTGTGTGAGTGAAGTAGAACTCTGAACACATTCTGCTGCAGAACATGGCCGGGTGCAAGGACCGGCCCAGTCCACAGGCTCAAATCACCTGCCCCTGGCACAGGTCCCTGGATCCCTGTCTCAGCTTGCACCAATGTATATGGAGCCAGCCCGAGACGGGAACCAGGAAGCTGGCTGTGTCTCAGCTTCCTTGGGCGTTGTATTTCAGCTTCCCAGCAGTGCCTCCATACTCATCTAGAGAAGCATGAGATACGTGACCCTCCTACTCCCTGCTTCTAGTATTAGATTTGTCATCTAACCTGACCGCCCTGTGCTACTCAGTAGCCTCAATCCCATGTCTCACTATTTGAATCTGCTTAATGCTCCTAAATCTTCAAGAAAGTGCTGGGATTTCCACTGTTAGGTTGGCAATTTTAATTTCTTGGTCATTGTAAAATGCTTTAAAGACTGTCAGTGTTAGGATATTTTAAAGAAACACAGTTCAGTGAACTATAAGAAACAGTGAACTATAAAAATAATAAATATTTCCACTTGTCTTGAATGGGGAAAAAAATGTCATAGACCATAGGAAAAATTCAGTATTGTGGCCAAACATTGTGGAGGATTTTAAGGCAATTTTACTTATTATGCGTAAGGTATTTTGGTGCCTTGAGTTAAATATAGCTTCCTCTAGCCTGAAAGGTATGAGCCAACACTAGGAAGAATTTGGAGATTTTGGCATAAGGGAACTGTGTTGGAGCAGGCATGGAGAATGCTCTCTGCTTCTATAACACTGTGCAACCAACTGCAGTTTGGAAGAGCCATGGAGGATTCCAGTGTCTCCCTTTATTGTGGGGGGAGGGAAGGCTGGAGGAGCTATTGAGTGTGGCTGCTCTGGAATTCCTATCAGCACACATGGTCCAGCCTTCCTTCACTTGTCCTGTTCCCGTGGGCTCACAAAAGACTGAGTATTGGCATTTTACTGGCTGGCAGGAATGTTCTTACTGTTGGTTTTCAGGGACAATGCACTTCCTGAGAAAGGGAATCCTGTACCCATCTCTGTGTTGGCTACTAGGGGGACTTTTGTACTTGGGGTTCCTGTAAAGAACTGAGTGTTAAAATCCACTAGGACAGAGTTTGTGACAAAATGAGCAGAGACCAATAGAAATGGGAAGGCTAAGCAAATGTGACTAGAACCAAAGGGTTGCCTTTGTTGAAAGGCTAGAAGAAAATTTAGTTAAAGAAATAAAGGCCTGGCTGTGGTAGTGTGTGCTGCCAAGACTCTGTGCTGTGCTCCTCATATGGGAGGAGGTTCCATTCCTGGTCCAGTCTGAAGGCCAGGCATGGTGGTACATGCCTGTAATCCCAGCAGCCTGGGGAGGTAGAGGCAGGAGGGTCACGGGCTCCATGCTGGCCTGGCCAACATAGTGAGACCCAGTCTAAAAATGAAATAAATAAAATAAAGGTGATCTACAAATTGTGAGGAATAAGGGAGGTATAGAAAATGCAGTTGGGGTGAGGAGAGGATGGGAATAGAGCTACTGGAAAACCCTAAGCTCCACGGTGGATACCTCTGGGGATGAGGCTCACCATGAGGGAATCTAGAGGGCCTCCATGATTGTGCCTCCTATCGCCATCACCACTCCATGGCAGCTCCTTTGTTGGCTGCCTGTAAACTCTAGCAGACGCAGGAGAATCAGGGCCCCTGGCATGCTGGACATACACCCGCTCCTGAAATAGACACTGACATGGGGCTTATCCACATGGCGCCCTGCGTCTAGGCCCAGTTCTAGGATCAGCTGTACCATGTAGGTCTCAATTGCCCTGGAGAAATCTTCACCACAATTATGGCCCCTCCTGAAGCATGTCTTCCTCTTAGCATGAATCAGTGTGTCTGACATGTACCCATTAGGGGGCTGGCTTAAGGATTCTTCACTTCATTGTATGAATTTTGTACAGAAAGAAACCCTGTGCTGCTCGTGGCTTGTTTCCACTTCAGATAGTGCAAGTCGGCACAGGTTAGAACACGTCTCCAGAGCCCCACCCGCATTGGTTGCAAATCTGCATACGTGCTCTGAGCCACAGACCATGAGGGGTTAAATGACACTTTTTGACTCACAACTTCAGAGCCGGTTGGACTTAAATTTATATCTTGGGATATTTCAATAAAGGAATTTGAACTCAGATTTGAGGTAGTCCAAGTTAACCTCAAAACTTCTCAGAAGAACTTTAAAATAAAGAGGAGCTGAATCAGGGAATGTTTTACAGTAAAACGTTTTACAGAATGTATACATTTTTTTTATTTTTAGAGGTTTTTGCTATAGGGCGTGTGCGCTCGCCAGACAGACAGAGAGAGACATAGAGACAGAAAGTGAGAAATCACCCCCCAGGGGGGATGGCCACGCCGCAATCCCTTCTCCTCCATTCTCCTCTCGGGATCTTGGGCACGCACGCACACGCACCCGGTGTGAGTTTTAAGCCACCGGGCCCGGGACACGAACCGCAGTCGACTACATGGGAGTCCAGCGACATAGCCATTACGCTAACTGCTGATTCCCACTCACTAACTGTTGATAACGATGGATTACATTGGTTGGTTTCCTCATATTGAAGCAGTCTCCCATACCTGGAATAAGCCCACTGGGTGGTGGGTGTCATTCTTTGTAGGCATTACTGTATTTGATTTGCATGTGTTTTGTTAATTTTTGTTTTGTTTTGTTTTGTTTTTCTTTTTGCATCTAAATTCATAGAGATACTTGTGTATAGTTGTTGTTTTTATTTTTTTATTTTTTCAAGCTTATTTTTCTTGAGTGTGAAAAACAGAGACACAGAGAAAGGCAAGCACCTCCACAGGGTCTCACACTGTGACCCCACACTCAGCCCTGGCTGACATCCCAGTCAGCCAGGATCACAGGCATACATTGCCCTGTGCATGCAGGTCACCCGGGGAACGAATGTATGATCTTCTATGTGGGTCCAGCTTTGTTTGAGCAGTGCATTAATAAAGCACCATCAAGCTGGGATTAGTTTTCTTTTTTGGTACTATCTTCCTTTAATTTAGATATCAAGGAAGACTGCATAAAATGAATTGGGGAGTTTTTCTTTTTTTCTAATTTTCAGAAGAAATTGTGTAAAACTTTCATTAATGCTTCCTTAAATGGTTTGGTAGAATTGTCTAGTAGAAGCACGTGGGCCTGGGGCCTTCCTCTGGGGGGGGTCTTTAATTGCAAATTCAGTTTCTTTCATGGTTATAGAGCTATTCGGTTTGTCTGTTTCATCTTGAGTTTTGATGATTTGTAATTTTCATGAAATGGTTTGTTTTATCTAAGTTGTGAATTTTGTGAGCATAATGTGGTTGACAGTAATCCTTATTCTTTTTGTGGCTGCAGGGTCTGTAGTGTTGTCCCTGTTTTTTTTTTTTTTTCCCTGAGGTTGGTGAATTGACTCTGTTCTCAGTCTTTGTTGTCTCACTAGAGGGTCTTTGTTGACAGAGACACAGAGAAAGGCAAGCACCTCCACAGGGTCTCACACTGTGACCCCACACTCAGCCCTGGCTGACATCCCAGTCAGCCAGGATCACAGGCATACATTGCCCTGTGCATGCAGGTCACCCGGGGAACGAATGTATGATCTTCTATGTGGGTCCAGCTTTGTTTGAGCAGTGCATTAATAAAGCACCATCAAGCTGGGATTAGTTTTCTTTTTTGGTACTATCTTCCTTTAATTTAGATATCAAGGAAGACTGCATAAAATGAATTGGGGAGTTTTTCTTTTTTTCTAATTTTCAGAAGAAATTGTGTAAAACTTTCATTAATGCTTCCTTAAATGGTTTGGTAGAATTGTCTAGTAGAAGCACGTGGGCCTGGGGCCTTCCTCTGGGGGGGTCTTTAATTGCAAATTCAGTTTCTTTCATGGTTATAGAGCTATTCGGTTTGTCTGTTTCATCTT